GCGAATCTGGTAAATGAGACAAGATATGTAGGTTATAAGTCTTGAAGGTATTGCCGTAAATTGATATTAGACCATGTTGAAACTCTGAGATCAAATTCCGAATCTCTTCTAATCTTTCTGTAGTTATTGGTCCACAATGAGAGAGATGGTAAAGTTTAATCAAACAGCTCAGGTTATTTATAACTCGTGGCTTCAATAATCCTTTAACTGACGGTAATAGGTAATATACCAGAAAATTTTCAAATTCTGAAGATTTCCAAAATTTCACTTGATCTAAATCCCATGGAACACGATTCATATCCGATGGAACCATGATTTTCGTGATTCGATTCGAAAGCTCACTTTTGAATGAATTTTTGTCTGTAAACTCTTTCTCAAATAATTGTTTTCTTCCATCTGTTAGCCAACCTTTTTTTATAATTGATCTCAATATACCTAACACAACACAATGCATCGGTTCCACTGATACACCAGAAACTATATCAAAGCTTCTCAGCTTTAATAAGGGAGAAGCACCAATTAATCCTTTGAAACGTTCATTATCTGTCGGATTTTGACCGGATTCTAATGAATCTGCAAAGTCAATAAAGTCTTGATGTTTACGAGAAAGATCATTGAGTTCAGATTGACTTAAAATGTTGAAACTTCTTGCACGATTTTCAGAAGATGCTTCAATTTTGCACCAATCACATCCATAAGTATGATTGAATTGTCTCACAGATCTTAGGTAAGCTCGCATTGGAGCATCAGCTATCAGTGCAATAACATGAAAAGTCGCGTTGAAAGAATTTGATTTTGTGTACCAAACAACAGGTTCATTTGCTAAGCTTTCCAATTCTTCACAAATAGGGGTAAGATATTGCTCAACATTTGGTTTCGATTTTCCAACAAAAAGACCAATAAGAAAGAAATGTTTTTTTCGAAAATTTGGTTTCAGCTCATTAATTGATGCTAGTATTGGGAAAATCTTTACACTAGACGAGTTACCAGCAGCCACTTCATCGGCATGAAGGGTTAATGTTAATCTTTTAATTCCATCTATTTGAAGTTGATCTTTCAATCTGTTAGCTTGAAATGCTTTACAAACATCATCGACCGATTCGATTTGATCTAATTCATACCAATTCGAGTCTTTGATTGATGGCAAATGAGATTCGAGTTGTTTTCTCAAAGGCATGTGGAGAAAATACTTATTCTCTTTCAATTTGGGTGAAACTTGTTGACCATCACAATCGTACAACTTATAATCTTTTGGTTCTCCAATATTTGGACCATGAATATGGCCTTTATCACAAAGAATAAAAACTTGAACATCATTTGATTTTGATCTCTTGTCCCAAAAGTAGCGAATATTAGGAATGATTATCGGATCATCCGAATACCTTTTATTCAAATTGTTGATTAAGTTGACCATCATTTCAGCTGTTGTTAAGTTTAAGCTTAAATTTGAAAGCATCGAAGCAAAAAAAGCTTCTAGATATTCTTTCAAAGATGGATTATGAAGATCACTTTGAACTATTTGATCAAAATCTGAATCAGAATTTAGACCTTGCTCATCAGGATAAATTGTTGTAGATTCGGTTTCAGTTTGAGAGGTGAATTGATTATGGGAAGCACATTGATGATTAGGGAGAGACTCTAAATATTCACTTTCTTGTTGAAAATGGCGTTTCCTTTTTCTCCGATTAATTGATCGAACTGATTCCATTTTAATTCAAACTTAAAATTTTCACTTATAATTAACTGATTAACTTTTATAAAACTGATTAATTAACAATTAAACTATTGAATTTAATATTGTTTATTCATTGACCTTTCAAAGAGAATAGAACAAAACAATGTAAAATGTTCTTTTCTACGTTACCATGACAACACTTGTAGCGAAAGGGGAAGAAACCGGAAAAGGAAGGATTAAAAATTCTATTCTTTTTAAATCATTTTTTCTGCTCAATTCAAAGTGAAGGTCGTTTTTGTTATTCTTTTCTTTTTAATTTTCAATTGTGATTTTTTTTAGTTTTTCAATTTTTCTTTTTTACAAATTGTTATTGAAACTTTGACTTTCATCAAATGTCAAAAGTATTCTAGAGTTTTATGGACTTGAGTTTTAAACGAAAGAAAAATACAGTTTTAGTTGAAGTGAAAAAGAAAAATCGTTTTTTCTCCAATAGAATTTACAACCAAACAACGTTAATTGGAACAATGTGTTCACTCATGGAAAACGAAAAGCTTTTAATTGCTCTTTGTACGATAAGAGATAAAATTTTCGGTGATCAAACTATACCTTTCGGTTTCAAAGTTCACGAAGATCTCATTCCATCTAATATTGCACCGCAACACTTATCATATAAGAATTTGGTTAAAATCTCAATCGATGGAAATTATAAACCAGTAGCTGCTTTGATCGTTGCTGTGGGAAGTAAGTGTGAATATTTATAAATTTCTATCAGATTTTAAATCTATTATCTTTTTATCAACAGGTGATTCGAAAGAGTTGATGAGTGCCTACAAGAAGTTCTTTAATGACCAAAAAGAATCATTTTCAAATTTATCGTCTAAAATAAGTCATTGGTTTCCAGCTGACGAAATTGTTATTACTCCGAATAGAAAGACAAAATCTTTAGCCACAATATCAAGAAGCGATTTCGAAAATTTTTGTAAATATGCCAATATTAGTGGACAAGAAGTCAGCCAACCACTAGCATCAACTCCAACATTACCATCAAAAAAAAGAGCGAGCAGAAACATTGTTACAGTTGATCTCGAGGATGAACCATGTGAAACATCAGATAAAAGATCTAATTCTCATATGCAAAAAAGTGTTGATTTATCAAAAGTTAAAATTGAACCAACAGAAAGAGAAGACCTCATCGCTCAGTTCGATTCAAGTATTGGTGGTTTAAAGGAAACATTGGGAGCTACTGATGGCAATTCACCTAAGGTTACTTTTATAGCGAAAATTGTTTATTCCTTAGATTTGCTCTCTAAGATATTGATCAATGGCCAAATCAGCAATCAGAATTTTGCTGGTTCAAGTTCTAATACCTATTATATAGCAGCTTTTGATCGAACTTACGAGTCTGGTAACACAACGTATATCGAAGGTCTTCTACCTGTATTGACGAGAAATTATCGAAAAGCGATCAAATCTCTACCGAGAAAGTTTAAAGAAGCCAGGCCAACAGCTATAATCACCAAGTTAGTCGCTAATACTTTTCCGAAGCACTGGTTACAAACAACTTTAAAAGGATCAGCGGGAAACAAATCATTGATTACCATTTGGAATCACCAAAATCCTCTAACAAATCCTTGTTCTGGATCTTTTGAAAATGGTCTAGGTGATGCTAGATTGAAAGCAATTTACGGTGAGTTATATATATTTCTGAAGATTTTTATTCATTGTGCGTTTTCTTCTAAGATCATTCCGTCCGTAAATGTGGAAAGTTATTCTATGATATATCAACCGAAGAGGCTTTGACGACTGCTCTTGGTAAAGCTTTACACTATCGTCGTTCAAGGGTTCCATCTAGATCAACAAAGGTCGGAGTTGATGATGAAGATTCCGATAATTCCGATTCGGAAGAAGATGATCAAAATTCTGATGCAGATGAAAGCTCACATGCATTAGATCAATTAGGTGCTTCCACTCTTAATGTCAGCTGTGATTCAGAAGAATCGGTTAGATTGACTCGCGGTGCAGCTAAAAGAAAACAACAGAGATATGATTCTAAAAAACAACCTAATCCTGTTCGTCTGAATAGCAAACAAAAGACTCAAGATAAATTTCCAAATGATGAAGATAAAAGCGATAAAAGTTCAGGAGAGGAAATCGAAAAAGACGAAGTAGATCGAGCTTCTAATCTGTTATTACCAAAAAATACCGAATCAGCTATTGATACAGCTAAAGGAGATGATAATCAAATTTCAAATCAAGTTAATTCAAATAAGAAATCTGTTAAAAAACAATCTGGAATTTCATCATTGAAATGTGTTGCGATCTTGCAAGATATCCCTTTAACTCAAAATTTACCTGCAGATCTTATGGAAAAAAGGTCACAATCGTTTATCCTTTCAAGTACCCCAGATCAACAACCTACAATAGTTGCTAATACCAACTCAGTTACGAATACTGATGCTAATAAGATCCCAAAGAAAAGATCTTATGCTGAATCCTGCTCTTCTACTGAGAAAAGATCCAGAAAAGATGACTTGGTTTCTATTCCCGATGTTTCCGAAAGTGACACAAATCAAGAAGATAAAATTCATCAAGGCCTTAATTTTATTGAAGACGATAAAAATAAAAAAGAGCTGAATGATATTGATGAAGAACAGAGTGGAAATGAAATCATGGAAGAAGATCAAATCGATGAGCAAGAAGATGATCAAATTGATGAGCAAGAAGATGATCAAATCGATGAGCAAGAAGATGATCAAATCGATGATCATGAAAATGATCAAACCCATGAGCAAGAAAACCGAGGTATTGGTAAATCGGAAGAACCAGATCAAACTGTTACACTTCCACAAGGAGAAATCAAAGATAAAGAAAGTTTTTCATCAAATCAAATTGATCCTTCACCAAATGGAAAAGTTTTTCTTGAAGATTGGATGAGATTTCTTGATAAAAATACAAGAGATTCTATTCTAGCTGCCAAAAGGAAAGCAATCTCTGAATCAAAAAACTAGTCAAAGTCAAAAGACTCAAATTATTGCAAAAAAGTAAGATCTTACTTTTCTCCATTACGAAATTTTTATGCTACTAACATTTTATCTTCTCTAATTGGTCAATTCAAAACATTACCAATCAACACAACTAACCAATACTAATCCAATTTGAAGTACAAAGTCAAATTTTCAATCCAAAATGTAACCAAAAAAGAACAAAATTTAGTTCAAAATCATTGCAATAGGTAATCCAACAATTAAATCAATTATACTTTGTTTTAACCTCAATTCGATGTTTTTGTCAATACATGAGATCTGGTTTAGTAATTTCAAAGATTATGTCAAAACAATTCTCTTCGTTGGGTCTTGTTTCTAAAAAATCTAATTTCAACAAGTTTCTGAGCCAACGATTTGATAAAAATTGTCCAAAAAAAAGAAAGTGTGATTTTCTTCAAAGTGATGAGTCTAAGGTTAAAAAAACCGTTCCAAACATCTTAGTGCCAACAAAATATTCAACTCGTATCGATCGTGTTATTGATCAGCCTGAACCAGGCTCTGTGATTAATCGGAAAGCTGAACTAACTGTTTGCTTAACCGATAAATGTGATGATGGAACCGAATTTGGAATAGTTTTACCTTTACTACTAGATGGCAAAAATGAGCCAATCAAACAACCAATTTTGATCAAATTCAAAACAATTATTTTGGAATCCATGGGGTTTGAATTTCCATTTAACGAGTTTTCAAACTCGGAAAGAAACCATTTTGAACTTGAATATAAAGGTCAAATCATGACGGTACGATTTATTGCGACTGGGGGTGAGTACTAAATAATTTCCATTTTACTTGACTGTAATTAATTATTTTGTCTGAATATCTTTTCCTTTTCTCATAGCTTCACCTCTTGACGTTCAAATCAGCTTACAAGCAAACGTTAAAGAAAATCCAGAGTGGAGATCTTTAAGAAAAATGATATGCTTAGGAGATGATTCTTTGGTCAATTTGACCCATAAGCCTTTGCGAGAAAATGATGTTCCTTCACAACTTATACTAGGCCAATCAGCTTATGATGATCTCATAACAAAATTAACGTGTTCAAAATCAAGTGTAAATCAACGTTGTTCATCGCCTGTACGAGAAGCTCATAAATATGATGCAGTTGGATGTTGGGACGAAGCTCTTCCTAGTGTTGCGAGTGAAGATTTTGCTACTACATGTAAAGAGATTAGAAAAGAATCTAATCAAGAATTCAAATCGAAGTTATCAGAAGAAGATAAATTCATCGAATTGAAGATGCAAATGAAAGAACTGACCAGGAAAAAAGTCACTTTATCAGAAATGGACACAACTGGCTCAATCATATTGACAATGATTGATATTATGACTAATATTACAGATCTATTGGACGCAAAGAACCAGAAAGCCATTCAGACAGATTATGTTGTCCCAGAAATTGATAAAACATATACATGCAAAGCAAAGGTAAATTATCTGTTGTTTGATCTTTGTCTAGATTAATACTGATACTTTAATCTACATATAGAATCAAATTTTTTTGGAGGGTGTTATCGAAATCAATTTAGATTTATATAAAGATGCGTGTCGTAGAGCTAAGCCTGGTAAGCCAAATTCGTTTGCGTATTACCTGATTAATCTCTGCTTCCCACAAGCATACTACAAAGGTCTGATTCTTGGAAAAAAATTTCAAACCCAACAAGATATTGAAGAGCTTCGTCGACAACAGAGTATCGGAGAAAAAGTTAAACTTCCGTTGCTTTATGCTTGGGGATTCGATGATCCTTTTAACAAGCCTTATGATGGTGATTTTGATCATAAAAAAGGACAAGAAAGAATAAGATCATTCATAAGTACGATAATATTAATCAATTTAAGAAGAACAAATTTTATCCTTTCTACTCTTTTTTCATAGATCATCTTTACAGAAAATCAGGATTTTCGCGATACTCAGATGACATGGAAAGTAGCGTTCGACGACAAATAAATAAAATTCTCTACGCCGTAAATACACCGAAGAAAATACCAAAAGACTTAAACAAGAATAAAAATTCAACGGAAAAAGACCCTCTGGTTGATGATGATGAGGATTATCTTGATTGTTTTGATGTGAATCTTTTCAAATCTAAATGATATTGTCTAATTTTGTCTTACAATTTTATTCTAATTTTTCGATTTTCCAAATTTTCTACAAGAAAATAATAAATTTACTTTTCGATTTTTATCAAATTTCGACAATATAATTTATTCCAATGAATTGAATTAGATATTCTCAATGAGAATAACAAATTCTATTATTATTGGAAAATTAAAAGGTTCTTATTTTTAGATAATTTTCAAATTATATCCATTTTATTATCTTTGCTGAGAATTTGATCTGATGAAAATTTATTGATAAAAATCAATCCAAATAATTTTCTTTTGGATTCAAAATTTACCACTAAAAAAGATTCATTTGAGAATCATTTTCTTTCTCAAATTTTCTTTAACTTCGAGAATCTTTAAAGAGTCTAAATGGCCAGCAAGGTTAATTTTGAGACTCTTTAGAGAATCTTCTCTGTTGATTGGGGACTTAATCATTTAGTGGGCGAAATGAAAACTCGGTGAAAATTAACTATTCAATTTCTTGATACTTGATCAACTGAGAGATAATTTTGACTTTCTTTTTAATTCCTATTCTTTTAGGTGCTGATACTTTAAGACCAAGTGATTGTCCGAATAGTATTGAACATTGTTCAAAGGATATGAAGACAATTCTTAATGATACAAGATTCACTTTTGCTCAAAACGATGTTCAATTGGATATTTTATGTCTGTGAGTAATTAACAAATTCCAACTGAATTATTATCTCAACGGTGAATCAAATGGTTCTCATTATTTCAACTGTCACTCTAATGAATAAATTGTCCGATTGGATAAACGATTAGTCTTTTTGATTCGTTCAAACATCTTAATTGATCAATATGTTGACTTTTATTTAGCTCTCGAATGAATCGAATCAATATAAATTATCTTGATCATAAATAAATTTACAATTCGTATAATATGTTTGGTTAACAATCGAAATGTTTTTCTGGTTGAAAAAACTGTTGGTTCATTTTATCATGAACAATGAGCTGAACAAATGATGATTTTTGTAGTAAAAAAAAATTCTTAATATTGAATATCATAGAATAATCATCGCCCAGGGAATAGTGATTCTATCATGAAGAACTCATAGAAACGAACACAGTTGAATAGAATTGAAGGGGAAAAAAAGAACAAAATTTCTTCTTCATTTTATCCAATTTCTTTCCAATCAGAGTGAAGAGACAATAATGATAATAATAATAATAAAATAGAAAATGTAATAACAAGATGATATTTTTCATTCCATTTGAATCCATTCTGAATGATTCATTAACCCAAACAGTTTTCGTGTCGTCTGTTTCTCATGATAAGTTCATATTCAAGTGTTTACATGAAAATTTCATTCTCTACAAAATGAAAGATGGAAAACCTGATGATTACCTTTAGATTCTTTAGATATTTCTGTCTACACTTCTCTTATTATCTTATCCTCAGTATCTTTAGCATCCTCATCTTTTTACCATACTCAAAGCCACATCCACAATCAACCTAATTTTATCTTCAATATCTTATATATATATGTGTACTTTTTTTTCATTATCACTTTCATTCTGATAGTAATTGACTTGTATTGTTGTTGTGGGTGTAATGAGGGTGAAGAAGTTAAATCAACAAGGAAATGGATCAATTACAAAAGGATGAGGATGAAAGTTTACTTTGGAAATGATGATGATAATTTTACGAATCTAATATTAGACGAAAAGTTTGTTTTATTCAGTTTTTTGGCTTCGTCTTCTGTTCATCAAACTTGTTGTTCAATCAATTAGTGAATTCTATTAGGTTGATAGCATCGAAAATAAGGGAAAACTAAAGTTCTCAGACTCATAAATAACTGTATTCATCTCATGGAGATGTTTAAATCTTCTGAGTGAATGTTTATTTCCATGATTCCATTGATATATATACCTAAAGATATATCATGGAAATCAGAAATCAGTTTTATCTTCTCCATCTAAATGAGTATTGAACTTGTAAAGTTTGTTATTATATTGAACCTTTGACATGATAATCAGAATGATAACAATTTCCTCATGAATTGAAATGAATCTTGAAAGGTTTGATATCTAGATCAATGTTAAAGGTCAGTTATTTTTAATGATAATTTTCAGCAACTCAATTTAACTTATACATGTATTATTCAAATGAACAGAATTTCTGAATTTACATGAACTTTATCGTTTAGATTGTTTAATATTCATAGAGAATAGGAAATAAAGGATTTTTCTCTTTCTCTCTCTCTCTCTCTCAAAATCAACACAGAACTCAGAACTATTGTACTGAACTTACAGACTCAATCGATTATCTAGAATCTTAGTGAAACATTTCCCTCTTCTCATGCTACTCGAGGTTAGATAATGATAAATATAATAAAAGATTTGATTAGCTTATGGTATCTAAAAGATAATCAAAGATTAGAAGAAACTTTTATGAAATATTAGTCTCAGAGTTTATTTAGATCTTTCATCGTTTCTCCCATGTGACATTTTATTTTATTTAGTCAAGTATAAAAAATTGAATGAAGATCATATCATGTAACTAAAATATTATCAGTAATCCCGAGTATGCAAATTATTCAGTCTCAGAAAAAAAAGAATAGAAAAAAAAAATTCTGATTAACTGATTAAATGAACGAAATGTATCACTAGTCTCATCGGAAGTTTTTCTTTCTCATTTTTCATATTCAATCACGAACCAATTCCCTGGGTTGATAGCATTTCGAATAGTCTAGAACAATTCTAATAAAAGAAAAAATTCCAAAAGTTTAATAATAATTACATTGTTCGATAATTGGTCCAACAAAGTTCTTAAGGTTGATCATCAGAAAATAAGGCCATTCGAAGTTTTCTGAGAAATGATCGCGATGAACATCGAAGTTTGAAATTTGTATCAATAGTTTGAATGTTTCTCGATTTACAACAATTAACGTTCGCAGAAAGTAATTGATTAAAGGCTTTTATATGATTGATAATAACGATTGATTAACATGATATCTAAATTTAATAATCATTTGATTTTCTTTTAGATAATAATAACTTACCTGCTAGTATAAAGTGACATCTTCAAGTGCATGAATATCATGAATATCATGAGATATTATAAGGGTTCCTGGAATTCAGATCTTAATCAAATAAATAGTTCTTATCATATGATATTGAATTGTTAATGAAACTAAAAGAGAGGTTTTTATAATTAATAACAATTTAGATGACTGATTATTGAGTAACTTATGTAGGCTTGATATCAGCTGAAATAAGGTGACAATTTAAGTATTGTTGATGATTATAATTAGACATTATTGATCTTACTCATTGTAAAGACAATAAGATAAATTAATATTGACTTTTTACTTGTATCTTTTTTACCGCTGATGATGATGATGGTGGTGGTGGTGATCAAATTTGCGATTAAATTGTTTTGTTGGATGACTGTTAACTCTTGTTGGGATGATTACAGTCATTTAAATCGTTCCATTACCTGTATCAATAAATTCATTGAATGTGATTCCATGTCAACCCTGAAAAAGGATTCAATCAATCCTATGCTTCATCTAATGGACAAACTGTGTTCAAAATCATCCAAGTTCAGAATAGGTAAGAAATCATTTACACCGATGAAAGTTTTGAATGAGAGTAGCTGGTGGGGTGGAACATTGGAAAGATAAAGGGGTCACATCAGAATAAGATGAACACACTCTCGATTTATATTTAAGATGATGAGAGAAAATTGTGACACAAAAGGAAGATGAAGATGAAGGTACCATCATCTTAACTCCCATAAGATACAAGGAAGAAGATGAAACAGCAGAAGGAGAGAGAGAGAGCTACAAGATGTATTGCTGAGTATTCCAACTTTTTGATACCTTACTTGCCACTCTCTTCAATAGGAACCTCGGGATTCAAAGTTACCATGAGAATCATCATTGGTTTCCTTGTAATAATAAAAAACACTTATGATAATCAGAATAATAAAAGTCTTTTCCAATAAATTAGCCTTAATAAATTGTTTCCAATGTCTTAACCTTTACCCCATCTAAAGGGAGTAAAAACATCATGAAACAGAAGAAAACATTCAGATGATTTAGAAAAATTCGATGAGTAAAGAAAATGCAATAATCTTTTAAGAAGATAAAATAAAATAGTTCTCTTCTTATCATCTTATATATATTTCTTTCTTTTTATTCCTTTTCTCGCAATTTATCATCAATCTTCCATATTACATCTTGATCATCTCTCTCTCTCTCTCTAACTGTATAAATTCAAATTCTGATTCGTGATTATCTTGTTTTCTTTCATCTATACCCAGAATACCTGAAGCACGCTGAATGTTATCACCGATTAGCTCCAGTCTATGAGAAATGTTATCAATTATATTACATTAGCGAAAGGAAAAGGGGTCAACTTCAACGTAATATAACGGACTTCACTCATTTACTCCAATGGTGCTGGTAAGTTAATCATCATAAAATAATCAATATCTCACCGATTCCCACCTTCCATCCCAATTAACTCTTTTACGATTTAAAAGTTTCTCCAGTTCAATAATAATAGCATTGAAACCCGATCTTGAAATTAGGGTTACTACCTGTTAACCAGTCAATCTCTTGGGTAATCATGTTATCAATCAATAAATTGATATACGATAAGAAACTTATCGTGAAAACAATCAATTGATTATAATCTATGATTTCAGATTTGATCTGTAAAAACTAACATAATGATTATTTGAGTGCAATAACTTTCAGATTTATCGACAAATATTAATAATTGATTGACTTTTACGTTGATTTAAGTTTTAAAAAAAAAGCTTTTCCTTCATATTATTATTGTTTGATTAGTATAATTAACTTCTAGAATTAGTTTAAAATTAACTTTGTTACTCTTGAGATTCAGAATGTATCAGATTTTTGGTTTTCTCTGATTCTTTTCACTCATCAACATCAGTTGATTAGTTGATTAGGAAAAATTAATCATTTAAAAAGTTCCCATTGATTGATCAGAGTTTTTACCTTTTTTTTACTCCAATTAGTTCATAAATTAGGATTTCTTGTTGTTTATCACAATCAAATTCCCATGAGACTGTAGTTATTATATATTGATGATAATCATCATCATCATCTCTCAACATGATTACTGTATACTCATTAAGAATCATCAAAGTTGATGACCATCATGATGACCATTAATGATTATATGAAATTGAAGATCAAGTTTTCCCAAGAATAATATTTAACCTTTTCCGTTGTAATTGTCAATATATGAAATCTAATCAACAATCAAAAGAGATTATAATTAACCTTAAATCATGTAAATTGCTCAATGAATTAGGTACAAGGGTTAATAGTTATTACTCTAAATGATTATGATTAATATTATATCAAGAATAAATTGTCAATGTTCAATTTGTGTCTCTCATTTTCACGTATATTAATCAATAAAATTGATTATTAATAATCTAGTCTGTTGATTGTTGACTGAATCAAATTAAACCATAATGATAATCAATTGTTCACAAGCATTTTCAATTAACTATCAAATGATTGACGAAACAAAAATCATTACCTGTTAATATATTTGTTTACTAATGATGATTATTCATTAATTGTATTGTTGATTTAATTAATTTAACACCAGAAAAGATGATTAACATTTAACGGTAAATAAATGCAGAGAATCAATGAATTTCTAATTAATTGATTATATTGATTATCATTTAGAATCCATTTTGAATCATTAATTTGAAAAGAATTTACTTTTAATTGTTAGTTAATTACTAAATTGTGTTGAGGAAAAAAAATCAGTTGGTAGTTACTTATAGACAACAATTACCATCATGTTTAATCAAAGTTAATTAAATTTGGATCGACTTTAATAGTGTTGATTAGATTTGTAATCATTTGATTATTATTGGTAAATTTAATTTAACTGAAAGTAAACATTAATCAAATGAAGGAAAGTATTAAAGTTTAATTGTTGTTAACCAATTGAAGTTAACGGTTAATTGTCTTGTAATGGAAAGATTAAATTTCTTAACTTGGTTAATTGTTTGTGTATTAATATAAAAGGTAAACCTTAATTACTATTTAAATTGTATGTAGTAAAAAACAAAAGATTTAGCAACAAATCACTTTAATCAACAAAGGTAATCCAAGTTGATTATTTTCTATTAGAACAATTAACTAATCAAAATGATAATATTAATAGAATTTTTTTTCTCGACTAAATTGTTTTAATCACAATTTGATTGTAATTTTATTCTTCTACCAATTTCCAACGGAAATAAAAGTCTCAATTAACTATTACCAATCGTAATTAGTGAGAAAGTTTTTCGAATCACAATTAATCAAGACAATCGATGGCCGAGAATAATCAATGATTAAGATGAGGAGGACAATTTAATCTCGATGATTGTTGATTAACTGTCTTATCTGGTGCTTTATGGTTTCATCTCTTTTTGTGTGTTTAACAAGTTAGGGTAATACTGAAGCAATTTAATTATCATCAATGTTAATAGACTAGAATAGCCTGAGGGTAAACAGAATAACTTTCAACAGCATAGACACTCAATTGAATCATCAAACCTTGTTTGACATTAGGTCTTAATTTACCTTTTCCTCTGTTAACTTTTTTTTTTCATTCTATTGTTTTTCTATTGATTAAACATCAGGTTAACCATTAATGTGCTTATTTGGTGAGACTGGGATGTGAAGGTGGGACTTTGTTGATGATGGTGATGAAAAGAGACCAGGAATTAGTCTGGATTAGGCTTGAGGCGATTGAACAATTTTTACGCTTCTCTCATTATCCAAACAATTTACAATTTGATGAAAGATAAATTGTCAAATTTTCTTTCGATTGTGTTGATTTACCTTCTTCTGGGATTAGTTTATCATCACAATATAATCTTAATCATTTTTATCGTTTTTTTCTTCACCATTTTCATTTCATCAATTCTTTCTCATCTTCATCTTATATATACTCGATTTCACGATAGTATGAGTTCAATGTTTTTCGGTTGTAGATCTTTTATTTTATATCCTTAATCACGTCATTTAATCTTCCACTAATCTGCCAATTGTTTTCTTTTTTCTTCCATGTTACCTGGTTAATCTTGTTGTGGCTTTTTCCTTAATCCCGACCTAATGGTTACCTTTATCCTTGTGCAACTTAAGTAATTACAAAAACCACCGAAAGTGCACAAATGATCCTGTTCGAAGAGCCTGTGGCTCTGAGGCTGCCAATCTTGCCGAGCAAATTGTGATCATTAGCCATGGTCATGATGCTCTCGATAATTGTCCTAAAAATTTGTCATCATCAAGTTGTCTTGTACATTGGGATTCGCTGGGCTTATTGGCCAACACAACTTATCATAAAGACGGTAATATGGACTTTTTAACGAGCGAAGGTAAATTTCTCTATCCTGATTATACTTCCGGGTCGCTTTCATCAATCACAATTAAAGGTTCAAATGGAAAAAGTGGAAAAACTTTTCTAGGGAAACTTTTCTCAAAATTATCAGTCTCATTAATCCAATTGATGAGTCTCATGGTGATCATCATAATCCACGGTGATTTAAATTTCATCATTGATTCATTGACGATTATTAAATTATCACCGTCGGTATCTAGACAATTAACTCCATCAATTGGACCGCCGATTTCACCACGACCATTGTTACTAATGAAATCTTTTAATCCGAATGGCCTAGAATCTGATATTAAAGGAAAATCATCACAATCAAAGACATGATGTAAATCACAAATGATTAGTTTCGCTAATTATTTGGTAAACAAAACAATTCTGGATCAAAGGATTTACCTGAAGACACAATTGTCACCAAATTTTTTCAATTGATTGTTGACAACTGTTAATATTTGTCTCCAGTTGATTGACAATTAAAAGTAATCGTTATCATTTATAAGAAACAATTTTTTTATACTCAAGAAAAGAGAGTGAGACCCAAATGATTGACAATTTTTCAACAATCAAAAAGAAAACAAGACAATTAACTAATCACAATCACTGACCAAATCTAATTAAACATCTAACTATCTGGAAAGTGTCACAATTAAATCATATCAACTTTCTGTTTCTGATTACAATCAACCATTTAAATGGCAATCGCATATCATAACAATCAAATCTAATCAATCACTTTATAAATATTATTATCACAAATATGTAAACATAATCACTTTCAACTCTTTTAATTGTTATCAAATTAAATTATTTTAAAATCAGTTGAACAATTAAAATGAAATCAGTTAAATGGGAGACAAGTTGATCAATCAAGATTATATTTGTTTTCCTTAATTGTTGCTGCGAATGTTAATTTTTCTGTTTATACGAAATTAAATTATTGTATTGGATAAATTGCTCGTTGATTGAGTAAAAGTTATTGTAACAATTAACTTGGTTGTTTAATCAACAACTTACATATTGAAATGACAATCATAAGAAAGGAAAAGTTTTCGTTAATTTTGATTAGTAATCAGATTTGTTTGTTTCGAGTTAATTAATATTTTCATGGTTTAAGAATCCTGACAATCAGTAAATGGTGAAGATGATGAATACAAGTGGCTCCTTGTCATCTTCAGGTTAATCAGAATTAGATTTTTCCTCCAACAATCAACATTAATCATCTCTAACTACGGTCAAGGATCCAAGGGAATTGCAATTAATGGCGATGACAATTATGATTATAATGATGGTTGATGAGGTTTTTGTTTTGTTCTCATTGAATTGTGTCATTAACAATTAATTATGATCAAGATTCCACTTGAATGTTGCAGTCAAAATAAAAGTCTATATCAGGAATTGTTGAATCAATGGGAATGATAATTAATTTAGATGAATAATATACAGCATTAAAAATGAATTAACTGATTACTTTTGAGTAGTTATTAGAATTTTTATCATTAATTGATTAATTTACACTAAATATTTTGTTGTTGTTTGGGTAGAGTAAAAAGTTTGCAAATTTTTCTAGTTAATTTGATCATTTGTGATTCAGTTTATCACTATAACTGGTGATTGATATAAATTGAGTTTTGTTTTGCCATTTTTTTTACAGTAAATTGCCTAAGGGGATTTAGGAAAATATTATATTAAAATGAGTTATTGTAGTAAATCAAATTGATTCAGGCTTCAATATTAATTTATTTGTACACACTCATGGGTTTGTATTGCATGGGGAGAGTAAGATAATAGGAAGAGACGGAAAGAGGAGAAAGGAAACAAAAAAAAAGTAGAATACTAGAGAGAGAGAGAGAGAAATGAAGATGATGAGGATGAAAGGGGAAGATGCAATATCGTTTAAAATGAAAATAACAATTTTTCATTTTGTTTGTTAATGAAAATTTTTGTACAACAATTTAAAGTTGGTCCGAGCCCATTTTGCTTCAACTATTCAGATTTCAGAACTTTTTTCTTGAATAGATTATAGAGAACAAAGGAAGAAAGAAAAAGAAAGAGAGAGAGAGAGAGAGAGAGAGAGGAAGAAGTGACAAAGTTGATGATAGTAAAGGTGTGTAAGTGATTTGTATGCTCTTTCCGAGAGCTTTCGAAAAAAAGATTTTCTGAGCAAAGTTTTCTACGAGCTAAAAAGGAAAGGAATACAAATGGTAAAATCATGAACCAAGTTGAAAGAGTTTGCAAAGCAACTCAACATATGATTCAAATTGAATGTGTATTTATAGATGATTTTTGGATGATAATTATGATGATTGGCTTGAATGAGTGAACCAAAGATGAGTCGCTTTGAGTGGAAAGTCTTTTTTATCTCAATCAATTAGAGGGATGGTGATGACAAGAATGATTTGTTTTCTCACTTCGTTCCAAATTAGTTTTTGTTTTATCCTTTATGTCCAGTAGATAATTAAAGATGAATACGATTTGACAAAATTTTTCTTCGATATATTTATATATATATATACTTTTATCTTTTATTTCCATCTAATAGCGTCGATTGAAAGATCCACGGGAACCATGTTGAGGTGTTTTCCAATTTCTACCTGGACCGGTATGATATGAGTTTGGTGGATGTCCAGGGTATTGCGAATTAGGTCTTACTGGACTCATCCAACGTGGTTCCATATTACGAGCATCTCTTGATGAATGATGGTGACGTGATGGTGGTGTAAGTCGTGATCGATTGTTACCTTGCTGTCGAGGACCATATTGTTTATGAGGTGATACTGGTGATAACGATGAACTGTTTGCAATTTGATTAAGACTCTCAGGTCCACCCAGTTGACCCATTGATGAACCTGAATAAAGGTGATCTTCACCAACAATACCCTCAGAGTTTTGAGTTTCAATGACTTTCAAAAAACGTTGACTTTGTAAACGTGAAACTGGCTCTTCATCATCAGAATTACCCAATTCCATATCAGATGGTTCAAAATTTTCATGAGCTTGTTGACCAGAGGTAAGATAACCTTCATATTGGACTGTTTGTACAGGGACAATTGGTTTATAAGGTTCAGCCCCTGTAAGCTCAGAGTCCGTTCTTGAAGAGACAACTGCTTGAATGGGTTGTACTGTTTCACTTTGTTCAACTTTATAAAGGTCATTCGGGGCCATGGTAGCTACGACTGATTGATTAAGGTGTGAGTAATAATCATAATCATATGTTGGATATAAATCCTGGGACATTATGGCAGCTCCAACACTAGGAATTGGCGGAGGTGGAGGAGGCGGCGGTGGTGGCGGAGGTTGTTGAATTCCACAAACCTTTAAGAGAGAGAGAGAGAGAAATTTATATTAATTAGATTACGAAAGAAACAATTAATATAAATCATGGGAAGATAAATAATATTGATTTCTAATGGACTTTCAAATAATAAGTGCAAGTATTTTTCGCAACTTACAAGTGAATCGCCAAGATTAGGTATCGGAGGAATCGGTGGAGGTGGAGGCGGAGGTGGTGGTGGTTGTAATGTTGACACGAGAGTCGACTGAAGATGAGGAGGTTGAGATGATCCCAGCACAGTCTAGAAATTAATGCGAAATCATAAATTAAATTTCATATCAACAGAAGCTACAATCTCTAATTACCTACTAATCATAAACAATAAATTAAAACTGATTAATAAACTAATCTAATAATAATACAGTAAAGTATCAAAACTAATAGTAAGTTTAGATGGTTTTATTATCTGCTTACCCAATCAAGTGATGAAGCAAGAGCTGGATTAATACCAATTGCTGCTTGAAGTGCTGGAGGTAAAGTAACAGGGGCTGGATGGGCATATGAAGGCTCAATTGGTTGAACAGCTGATCTATTTGATACCAGGGGCATTCCTTGCATAAGATTAGATAACCTCTTGTCCAAACTACTTATGGGCTGACCATTGGTCCCCTCGATAGCGGGTAATTGAGGACCGTCGTCTGAATTGGTTGGTGAGGGTGCATCAGCACAGGGTGAGGGTAATGGAGAGGGTAATGATGTTTTTGATTCGGATAACTTTTTTTTAACACTTTTCACCCTTTGGGCGAAATTTTTGTACGCACTGGCGACTATTTTAGCTTCACCTTTTTGAGTTTCATAGAAAATTTCACTTTTCTCAAGATATTCAATGAGATCATTTCGAATTGCAATTTCTTTCTCTAAGGTTGACACTAAGGATTCCATTAATTTAGTTGCATCGTCAAAATCTTTACTATATTGTTCCCCATGACTTTTATCTTTCAGATTATTAAGAACTTCTTTACTGAGAGCATCAATTCGAGATGAATTAACTGCTTCAACTTTCTGTTGACGAGCTGCTTCAATCTTTCGCGCTCGCTTAATCTTCTCAACCAGTTGAGATAATTTAAATTCTGCGACAATCTTGGATGCAGAAGATACTTTAACAGATGATCCAGTTAATAATGTACGAAGTTCATCAACAAATTCAATTGGATAAATGTTCCTCTCCTGCCAAATATTGAGAACACGGTTTATATTAGGTCTTATTTTATCATCTCGGACTAATTGGATAGCATCTCGAAGGATCTCCTCAAAATCTCCCAAATAACCAGGTATATTTTTCTTCTTTGCATGTTGGACAACATCATTGGCTAAATAGAATAGTGTCAATCGGTGAGATATTTTGCCTGAGGAAAGAGAAAAGAGAAAACAAAAAAGGAAACATTGAAAAAAAGATTAGAGCTTTGAAATTGATGAGAGAAAATTAGTAAAGTCAATTAATCACGGAAACAATTACACAATTAAAAACTCGCTCTCACTTGTCATTTGAATGTTGGGATAGAATGGAGAAGATGAAAAATAATAAACACTGACAGTGGAGGAAAAAATCAATGATTAAATTGATGAAATCGAGATGAATTACTAAATTAGGAGTCAATCACAATATTCAATATTTAGGTCACGTAAAAATTGACCTGCAAATGATGATAATTAACTGAAAGATAAACAAAAATAGTATTTTGATTAACACTTATTTGAGTCTGTAGATAAAAAAATATTGGAATAAATTAAATAACTTGTCATGATAATATTAGAATATTTTTTAAGGTAAAGAGCGTGAGCTCTGTTGTGATAGACAGAAATTTGATATTTAACTTTCACTGACAAGACTAAACAATAAGTTGATTATCTTAGGTAGTTTTATAATTGTAAACAATAAGAAATTGATGGAAAGCCCAAAACCACAAGATTAACAAACAAATAAACACATAAAAACATAGAGAAAGTGAGAGAGTAACACAATTGAATGAGTAGATACCTTTTTCTAATGCTTTCATCCATAGTTGGACAATCCGTTTGTGGTGACTTTTGTGATGAAGTACCCATAATGATAACGATTGAATACTGTCCTGTGTATTTACACATGAATTAAGCTTCTTTTCCAGTGATGTTTCATTGAGGTTCATTTCCCAATTGCTGTGGAATCAACAAAAATTAAGAATAAAACAAAAAACAAAACCAAAAAACCAAACAAAAACAGAACTGGTGTGAACCACACGAGTGAAAATGGAAACACCGAACCAAAATAACCGAATGAACAAATCACTGAATACCCAGAGAATCACAACAATAGTTCAATAAGTGTTTCAAATTATCGTTAAATCACTAGAATGGAAAGTTAATCATTTAAATATAAATAAAGAAAGTAAAACACACCGAATGAAATTGTTAAAGAAAATGAAAAAAAACAGATGATTGAAGTTCTTGGGGACCGTTGATAAAGTGAATTCGGTAATGACCAACCTTTTCTTTCCTTAATTAAATCAACCAAAAGTTAATTTCTCCAAATTATCATTGAACAATTTAACAATAATTCTACTATTACAACTCTCCGTTAATATTCAACTCTTTTTAGAAAAAGAGATCATGATTAATTGATCGAAACAGTCGATTCATCTGAGATTAAATGTCCAATTATGATTCTCAATTGTTGCTCGATTGTTAATCAAATGTGCAGATTAATCACTCGATCAAAACTTTCTGTGAATCAACAAGATTAATTAGAGTAAAATCTTGATCAATGAGTGACTATTTATGTTAATAGAAAATCAACATGTGACAATTACAATTACCTGTCAAGTAATTTGATTGTTTTGTGTGTGTGTTTGTTTGATTGTGTAAACATGATAAAAATTTGGAGGTAATTTTATTAACTGTTAATCGTTTGTTGTTTCATAAACAACGGATTAAATTTCAATTGAATTTTCAGCTTGATAATAATAATTGAATCGTTGAATTAAAAATGCTTTAGAACTGGTGGTAGTTGATTAGCAAATAGAAGGAAAGGAAAAATATAAATGAATCGAAAAGTATAATTATGTAGATTGTTGTTGATTCCAATTGAATTGATTTCTCTTCTTTTATGTAAATTTCGCTTTCACAATCAATGTAACCATTTCATTCCCATTTCGTTAATAATAATATAGTAATAATTTCAAGAATTAGTGTCCAAGAAGAGAAGAGTAAACTTGATTTTGGTTAATCATCGGATCCTTTAGCGTTAATTGTAGCTAATCTCATGTTGATTTGTTCAACAAGATCATCAATCCGCTTGGATGTACCTCGAAATTTATTGATATCAGGACCGAGCATTTGAGTTAATGCTGGAACTTCATTTAAACTGATTGCCATGAATCGCACTAAAGCAGTTAGACAGAGGAAAACTATGGAGAGAAGATAAATAATCAATTTGTAAATGAAACATCATTAGTTAAATTGTTGGAAAGAAATTACGTTTCCGCAAGTGGAAAAGTAAAGAAATGAATTATATAAGATGGAGGAAGAAGCTTCATCTCAATAGACGAAAATGATACTGTGAACATATTTGGCACTTAACTGTAAATCTCAATGATATAAATAGAATTAAAGTTAATTTTGTTTTCATCTCTTTGAGAATCAACTATTCTCTTACCTGACTAGTTAACGTTTTCGAGACAAATACTTAAAAACTTGATGAGAGAATCTAAGCTATAAGTTATTGAACTTTTCTTCCTTTACATTATAATTAATTGTAATTAAAAAGAGTTTACAAACCTCGATCTTCTTCCAAATTACCATGAAGATATTGTAGAATTGCGGTTGCTAGTTCGGTGGCTGATTCCTCGAAAAGTTCTCTCAACGAAAGGTTAAAAATTAGATCAACACCAACTTTCTGTAAAGTTGTTAGTTTATCATTGAGAAGAGCGTGAACGGCGACTCGAATGGTCACTCTACAGTTACTGGCTGGAGTTCCATCAGGTTCATTCCATTCGGATATATACATTAGCCAGTCAAACGAACATGGTTGACCACAGAAGTTGCATAAAAGTTTGCCGAGTTCTTCCTGTTCGGCAAGAGTTAGACTTTCAATTCTGTAAATATAACTCATCAATCGATGATTTTTACGATCACCATGAAGAGCCAGAACAAAGTCATCTTTCAATGCTGCCGATTGAAGGATCTCTAAGGTTAGAAGTGGTACATTGGGGGGAAATTTACCATCTTCTCCATTTAGAAGGCGTGAAATTAAGCTAAGGTGATCATCATCAATCTTCCAGGCTTCACCTTCGGTTTTCAGATAATCAGTCCAATCGTCCATTAGCCGACGCTCTTCCTCACTCAAAGCATCGCCAACGAGTTCTAATATTTTCTTGATCGCTGAAACACCCTGGATAATTATCGGACAAAGAAAACAAAATAAGAATTGTATATATGTATTGAAGGAATATCGAGTGTTCAAATTGATCGACTCACATCAACATCGGCATAAACGATCGGTGGGTCATCGTATTTAGGAGCTTTTCGCTTGGGTTTGATTTCTACTCTTTCATCAGAGTCTTGATCAGCTGCTGACTCCTCCTTTTCTTCAAATTTTTTTTAATCGAAAATAGAGAAAAAAAATTAATGTCAATTTAAAAGGAGAGAAAGAAAAGGATTTAAATAAATGAAAAGTTTTGGGACCATTAGGACATACCTTGTGTCGCTTCCGGGTTCTTCTTATTGTCTCCCTCAGGGTTTGACATGTCCTTACTGTCCAGGTGAGTCGTTCGTTGGCTTAACAATAATTCAAAAGGATTGTTAGAAATTGATGAAGATCCAATGGATTGAGTATTGTTAACAAAACTATTCGAATTGGAATTGCTGTTAAGAGGATTATCAAGCAAGGTTGGTGGTAGCGGGTTCGATTGATCACTTAAAAATGAATTACCAGTAACACTTTGATTAATCGAGTTTTCTATCGGACTCTGATAACGGGAGAGTATTTGTCCAAAGTTCCTGATGGAAGTAGTAAAGTAGAAACAAAATTAGTTAATAGTTAAACAAATAAGGCTACGAAATGATATAAGTTGGTTGACGAAGATGATGAACTGAGGGAGGATGAAAAAAATAAACTCAAGATGAAAAATGAGTAGAAGAAAGAAAGAAAGAAGAAGAGAGAGAGAGAGAGAGAGAGAGAGAGAGAGAGAGATGAAGATGAAGATGAGACTAAAAGTGAGAGTTAGAATATTAGGGAGGATGAAATTCTAAGTTCATGGAGAAAGTGGGAAGACAGAGAGAAAAAGTGAGTAAAGAAAGATGAAAGAAATGGAGAAAAAAAGGAGAGAAATCCCAAAATAGAACGAAAAGTGAAGATTAGAATCAAAGAAAAAGAATGAAAATAGTCGATCATTATTAGAAGAGAAGAAGAAAAAGTTTTAGAGAAAGAGGAAGAAAAAAGAATATGAAAAAATGGAATAGATTTCCTAAATCTTGGGTCACAATTAGATTAATCCAGTAGAATTTGAGTAAATATAAATTTCCGAAAGATTGTGAATTGACGAGGTTACATTGATTCTTAATTGTGGAATTGATGATTGGTGTTGTTCTTACGTTGAGAGAACCTCAGAGGGTAAATTGATGATCTCTGGTGGGATTCCATTTCCTGTCAAGAATTGAGCCACTTCGTTACTGAAGTTATTGCAATTATGTTTGAATAAATCGTAAGTTCCAACTCTGAATAAAAAATCGAGATTTAAACAAATTTGATTATGGATTAAATTGGATTAATGAGTTAGTCTTCAAATCGACGATAAAATGTTTCTGTTATTTTTATAGATTATCAATGAAATGCCAAGGACATTTAACTGATATTTTATAATAGATTTTGGCAAAACATCACAACGAACAAAAAAAATAGTTCGTCGTTTGAATAATCGTTAGATGATCAACAAGGAAACTCGAAATTCTATTTTCTTATTTAAAGGAAAACAAAATCAATTCCACCGGATAGGACACAGTTTACAATTTACAAAACAATTAATTAGCAATTTTAATCAAATTATTCAAGGAAATAATCAATTTGAAATCGGCGCTTCATTAAACCTCAAGATGGCGTTTCAACTACTAGCGCCATCTCTTAGCTTACTTGTAACATGACTAATCAAATTTTCTGTCAACAATTAATAATTAACTTGATTGACGAGGTAATTAGTAGATAGTTGTTTGAGGTCATTTCGCTGATGATGATGAAATTCATTGGGGATATTGAGAGTAACTCAATGGAAATTGTTGGTATTTCGAGGAAAGAATAAAAGAAAAATTCGTGAAAATAAATTGTACAAAATTAGAAAATAATAATCAATTAATTACCCGAAAGAAGTTGAATTTAAGGTGTTGATATATTCCTGGAAAAGGACGAAAGGTATTTCCGAGTATCCAAGAACAATTTGAGAAGTAGGTCGACCCATTGGATTAGAACCATCCTGAAAGAGAAACAGAATCGATTTCAAGAAAGATTCTAATTACAAAAAAAATTGAAGAAAAAGCAACATAAAAATCTCAAAACAAAGGATAATTAAAAAGAGAAACAATTAAATAGAATCTCGATAACAATTATAAATCCAGGATTCAGCAAAATTCAATCAGTTATGAGATGAACTTTCGCAAAGAAACTATCAAACTTAAAATCCCCTGATAGAGAACAAAAATGTTGACAGTAATTAGCCTAACAGATTAATCATCTCTCTTAATTGTCAGCTTAATTCTTACATAATAAGGCATCACAGCGATTCCCTCTTGTCCAAAGAAATATTCATTACCAAAATAAACGATACTTGTATGATAAATGGCGTCGATTTGTTTACCTGAAAACATAGAGAAAAAAAAATTGAAACCAAAATGAAAATCAGCTGATAAAGTAGATCAATAATTAATGAGAATTGGATAAATGTCATGTAAACAAAGTGACAATTTACTAACCAAGTAAAAGGTAAGAAAAATGTTTCGCCATTCCATGAGATAGATCATAAATCAAAAGGTAAACAATATTTCCTTGACCAGTTGATTCAGTTGATAAACAAGAAAGGTCAGCTTCATAAGAGGTCAATTGATTTGAATGGTTTTTAGTTGAATCCATGGTTTTGTTGTTTTGATGATTTGAAACAATTTAAAGAATAGAATTTAATTTTCTAAAACAAAAGAAAAGGATCTTCTCAGGTAAACCAAAGGTAAGATGGATCAACAATCAATGGTCAATAAAAAAAAAGGTAAACAATGGAAAGTGATGTTCAGTTTGAAGACAAGATGACAAGTGAATGAAACATTGATGAAATTAAAAGGATCAAGATGATCAACTAAAAGGGTAGATAATGAATGACACAGCAATAAATTGATTGTTACTCAGCTGATGGTTACATCTAAATGGATCCAGATGATACTAGAAATTAGATGAACTTTCTTGAATCAAGAATAGATGATGAAATGGATGAGAAGGGTTTCCAAGATGATGAGAATCCATGAGAGAGACAGAGAGAAATGGAGATGATCATGAAAAAGGAAAATAAATTATTAAGATGAACACATGATGAGAAAATAGGACGATGCAGATGACGAGAGAGAGAGAGAGAGAGAGAGAGAGAGAGAGAGAGAGAGAGAGAGAGAGAGAGAGAGAGAGAGAGAGAGAGAAGATAACAAATGATGATGAAAAGTGAGAACAGGTAAATGGATTAAAATACTAAATAAGCTGTTCAAATTGTCTCAATTAATCTTTGATGATGATGAATGATTTTAGTTTTTTTTTCCTTTAGTAATTTGATCATTGTGACAATTTTTCGAGCAACAATCAATTCGTAAACAATTAACTCTTTTGTTTTCTTACAATTACAAGATTCTAAAAGTAAACAAAGATCAAGATAATTGATTAATTATTGTGACGAATATTTTTTTCATACATTTTCTTTAATTTTTACTATTTTCGAAGATAATTTTCTAAAATCAAATTAAAATTCGCATTTTCAATCGTTATTTTAATCATAAAAAAAAGAGCCAAATACAAATGATTAACTATTCTAATCATTAAATGTATCCAAGAATTTACAATTAAATCAATTTACCTTCGTTGAGTTAAATTGTTAACATGTGAGAGGTTAGATCTTTACCTTTTAAAATAACAATTGACAATCTGACAAAATGATCAAGTTGAAATCAATTCTATTGAATTTTTTTGTCCATTCATCGAATTTCTCATTAATTAAATGAGTTGATTGTTTTTTTTCGAAAAAAGTTCTGAGTAATGTATTTGGAGAGAATTGAACATTTGTATATGCGAAAATATGATGGAACAAAAATCGAACAATTTGGAAAGTAAAAGAATTATTTCTTTCTGGAAATCGACTAGTTGATGCGCAGCATCCTCATCCTTTTTCCTTTTCATCTTCATGTTTTTCCTTCTTTATCAATTCTGACCAGGGATGAGAATCTTGCTCTCTCTCTCTCTCTCTCTCTCTCTCTCTCTCTCTCCATCCTCCAACCTAATTCCATAGAAATTGGTAACTATAGTTACTCATCATCATCCGCATCCTTTTCTATCTCCTTTCAACTCCCTAACCAAATTCTCCTTCTCATCTTTTCCCTTTTCTCTCACTCTCCTGTTAATGTGTATAAACTGTTCCCATTTATTACCATCATTTTAGATTAGATTTTTTTTCTTCATCACTTAGAAAAATAAAAGAAAAATCAACCAAAAAAACTCCCATTGATGAAAAGAAAAAGTGGTTCCATTGATGAAGATAAAATAGTTTTATTTGAATTCAAAAGTAAAAATTCATATTCTTTTTGTGTAAACTGAATGTTCAATCATCATTCTCAACGATTTCTAACTGATAAATGGTTCGGAACAAGTTAATCAATTGATCTAAATAATCTTAATATCTAAAATCATCCAACATAGTGAATTAATTTCCATGTCCAAACCAAGAAAAAACCTCATCGATTTAAATGATTAGTTAATGATTAGATTGATCCATCTCTCTCTCTCTCTTTCCAAAAGCAAACCCTTTGGATCCCAGTCATTAACCACTGGTTGATATGAACATCAAGTTGATTAAAGATAATTATCATCAATTAAATATACCAAAGTCTTTAATATGTATTCTAATTCCAATGTTATCCGTATTAACCCTAATTCAACCGATTATCGGTTCACCATCAACAGCCAATTCCAACAATTTACCTCTCAAACCACTAGAACCTTCAGCCTCTCCATTAATCCTTCCTGGGACAAACAAAAACACTCCTCTTGATCCATCATCAACAATTAACTCTAAAGATCCTCCATCATCATCATCATCACAATCAGTGAATCATATTTTTGAATATCATTGCAGTCCTTGGATAGAAGATAAAATTTGGAGGCGAATTTATCCCAGATTAAGATTAGACTGTGGATTATCATCATCAGCATCATCATCTAGAACCGGATGTGGAGGAGGAGGAAAAGGAAGAGGAAAAGATGACCCATCATCTCAATTATCAGATGAAGAAGAACAGGATTCAATGGATTCATCAAAAGTGAAACGAAATCAGTTGACCGATACTTCATCTCGCAACCATAAAAGTGATACAATTATTTTAGATGAATCAAAGTTATCATCATCTCCCTCACCTTCATCATCTTCAGCAACATTAACATCGAATCAATCAAACAATAATTATAACAGTAATAATAATAAACGTTCATCCATGTGGCCCACTCATCCACTTCCTCGACGAATGTCCGAGAATTTAAGTCCATCGGTTTGTAGTTACACTGGAAGCGCAACAATTAACGATTCATTGGATTGGATGCAAGATTATCTGCACATAATGAGAAGCTTTAATTACGCTGAGTGCCTTTTGTTTGACAATTCATCAATTGATTCCATTTGTTCATCTAATCCTAATCAGAGAATTGAGAAGCTAAAATCATTTCATTTCGCTCATTGTGATCGTTATCCTTTGGTTAACGTTCTATCGGACGATGCTTGGGCTAAGGTCATTTCGCCGTTCAAAAGAGACTCACTTTGTGTTGACGTTCTCAAGGAGCTTAATCTTCTCGATGCTTTCGCTAAACAAATTTACTGCCAATTCGAGCAATTATTGTCTCGATATAAATGTGAATCATATTCCATTAAAGGAACTTGCTCAGCTTGTAAGGTAATTAGCCAACAATTAGCGACAATTTATTCACAATTATTGTTCCCATTTATTATCATTCTCTTTGTATTGTTGGGATACATTTTCTTTCCTTGGAAATTAATTATTTAGTAATTTTCATTGTCTTTCGAGTGTAGATTTTGTTGATTGTTTCACTTACATCATGATTCAAGTGATTGTTGTTAATTGTGTCAAATTTAATCATAACTTTGATAGGGAAAGTTAAATAGCCTAAATCTGTTTAGATTTCAATGGGTAAACAAAATTCTGTTTACTATCGTGTTAATTGTTATTAATCACGCAATAATTTGTGCGATTGTGTCAATGTTTTCCTTGACTAAATTAATCATTTATTTTGATAAATTGTTAATCTTTAATTGTTTCTATTTGATGATCAACAGAAAGCATACAAAGAATGGGTTTGCTCAATGGTCCTGCCCTTTTACTTTGATGGTATTTACATAAAACCGTGTCGATCTTTTTGCGAAAAAGTGGAACAAAAGTGTCCTCATTTTCACCCGGCGACTACTTATGCTGGGGAACCCGTTTTCATCTGTATAGGTTTGTAACTAATTAACTTAATTACTGACAACAATTAGACTAATCAATCACTCCAATGAAAACTTTAATCAAAATATGAATGTTGAAACTTTTTTTCAGTTCACTTTCACTTTCAACTTTGTAGTTCAATGTTAAGATTTAGTTGATTACCGTTTAGCTGGATTAAATTATTTAATTAATCATGGAAAGATTTTACTAGAAACGTTTAACAAGTATAAAAATAGAGCTTTAATTAAACTTGATTGTGTTTACATAACAATTTAACCAAATTAACTTAAACCAGTTTCATACACATTACATTTACCAGAGATGCAACAAATTTATAAACAATTTTCAATGGTTATGCTTAAATTAACCCTTATGATAATCATGATAATTAGAGTCAACAATTAGAACAATTAAAATATCAAATTGAGAAAAGGAATGAGGATTGATAATATGATCGATATCTTTAATTAGAATTATGAAAATTATCTCGATTTGATTCTCAAAGGGATTTGATTGGGTTGTGTTTTAATTAGAATTTCAGATTGAGGAAATTTTTCTTTCTCTTGATTATTTCGAATTTCATTTTTTTTCTTCTTCTTCTTCTCAATGTTCTAGATCCAAAGATTCCTTATTTCGAAAACTCATCGAATATACCTTATGGTTCACCTGGGGAATGTTACGAGTCCTGCCACCTCGCCAATGAAACTGACCTCTATTCGGACAAAAGTGATAAGTCAACGTGCCCATCGTACGAATCGCTTTTATATTCTGTACTCAAGAAAAGTTTAAAAGAGGAAATGGATGATTGGAAAGAAATAGAAAATAACAATAATTATTCTCAAGCATCTTCATCATCATCATCATCTCCATCAGCATCTTCCTTAACAATCCAATCCAATGGAACCTTTAACGAAGATGAATCAATTGAATTAATAGCTAATAATAATAAGAGAAAATTGAAACAAAAAGTAAACAACAATGTTCATGTCCGTCGATCATTCAGCTCATTATCCGAATCTTCATCCAGATCACCATCACCATCACCACAACAATTAACCTCCACTCCAGCCACATCTTCATCTTCTTATGGTATTCGACTTAGAGATCAACCGATTGAAACGATTGACAGTGTAACCACCCACCCAGGGGCTAATTTAGATTCAATTGGTTCACATAAGATTTTAATCAATGGTATCGATGGACAACATGTACAGTCAATGGCTCTTCCGTTAGATGATGATGGTAGTGAAGATGAAGGTGAAAGGGATGACGATTCCATCTCAACAACATCTTCAGCCTCATCGACACTTCCAACCGTCTCTTCACCACCAACTCACTATTCGGTTCAATCTTCCCTTCCCAATGCCGATATTAATTTAACTCTATCAACAATTTACCATTTCTCATTGTTATTTCTTCTATTAGGTTTAGTAAGATGACGACAATTAACATAAATCATCATCTAAATCGTAACATTTACACAATTTTAAACCAAAAAGAAACCAAAGTGACAAAGTTTTCAGAACAATTAACTAATCATTTAACAAAATCTTACATTTCCCTTTCTCCTTTCAACAACCAAATCAACAATTTATTAGTTGTTATTAGCAACTCCAAGTTCTCAATGTTATTAAATTACTAAACTAATTGAATAATAAAAAGATGCCTTTATTCTTGTAATCAAATTGTCCCAACAATTAATTAAATTTGCTAGAAGAAGAAAAAAATTCCTACAATCAACCGATTGGATTTTACTATCTTGCAATCAAAATGTAAAACATTCACAATTAACTTAATCAACTGAACAATTTTGAGGAAATAAAAGTTCAACTAAATTTATTGGACATTAATAAATTGTTAGTAATACAAACAATTTACTATAATAATAGAAACTAAATTAATAGCAAATGTTATTAAAATGTTCAATTAAGTGGACACTTTAATAGATAATGGATAAAATGAAATAGTGAACAACAATTAAGGAAAAACAATGTTGACAATTTAATCTAATTGTTATTAGTTCTGAGAATTTTGATTAATCTGAATGAATGAGTGAATGTTAATTGTTAGAAAAGTTATAACAATTAACCTCAGTGAGAAAAGTCAACGACTCGAGAGTTGAAGAAAAATGAACGAAAGAAAAAAAAATTGTTCATATTAACCTCCCAATGGAAAAGTCTCTCATTTCTGGTTCTTGTTTACATCTTAATCTTTAATCACGTTGTTTATTTTTCTCGTAATTTAAATTGTTTTAAATGTTCCAATCATGGATCAATTTAATTGGATTATTAATTGTAACATACTAATAACAGTTAATCAGTTGTTAATCTCTTCCAGTCATTCTAATTATCAATCTAATCAAAAGTGTTTCTCTTCTGTTTGTTGTTGTGTCAATTAATCAATTCTCATGTTGGTCTATACCCTTTGGTATGTATATTTACATTTCCTTTGTTTCCCTAATTAGTTTTCAATGAACAACAAATGATTACTTTTAATCTAATTCAATTTAATCACCTTGATATCTTGATTGTTATTTGATTATCGATGCCCAACCCAATCTATTCAAATTACATTCACTTTTCTCTTGATATTTTATTTCCATTGATGATTTTTTCTTCTATCTTTTTTTTTCTCTTTCTTTTTGTCTCTCTTTTTTTTGTCTCTATGTTTTTGGTTGGTTTCCAATGTTTTCTTATGGATCTTTTATTTCACTTATTCTGGTGGTGAATGGATTATTCTTGACCATCAATCGCCATCTTTGACATCTCATCAGACAGCTGATACCAAGAGAAGGTTTTAAACTTGATCTTCTTTACTTGATTCTGTTGGATTAAACTTTCCTCTCGAATTTGGATTGTGATTTGATCGCAAACAAAACACCTAACCAGTTGTTTGGTGCTTTTTTCATATTCTATTCTCTGTGTTTGTGTTGGTTTTTCTTTTCTCTTCTACTGTCAATCAATTTGACTATCATTCGTTTTATATTGGTAGCAAATATTTAATACTCTTATCGACGAAGAGAAAAAGCCAACACCAATTACTTTGAAAGTGATCTGATTGTTTTGGCCATTGGGATTGTTTTTGTTTCTGTTGTTTTACTGTTGATTTGAGTGACCAAAAATTTACCCTGTGTATATTTAAATTGAATTTACCATGTCATCACTATTGAATGTTGACAATTTTCAAGCAGCTAAACTGGAAACCCTTTGGAAACATGATTTGTATGCTCTACAATTAAAAGCTCCAAAGCCTAAGCGAGTTGTTTGTCAAGCACATATTCCCGATCGTCCTCCTCACTATGGAAGGGAATTCCATGGGAAGATCACTCGAGAAGAGGCCAATAAACTACTCAGTGGTGAAGATGGACGTTACCTGGTTCGAGAATCAGTGAGAGCTCAACATCAGTATACACTATCATTAAGGTGTGTGAGTGTGTGGAAATTGATCTTTAATCAGCTATTTGTGACTTGACAATTCGCAATTGTTGATCAACACTTAAAATCGATGAAATTTACATTCAACAACTTAGTTTATGTTTGGATTTTTCATCAACTGATTTTTATTGTTGTTCACACCATGAGAGAATTACTAATCTAGTAATTAGTTGAATAACATTACACAATTCGTTGTAGTGATTATTACGATGGCGTCAAGTTTGATAGTCATTCTAATAGTTTTTTTTTTCTCAATTGAATCGATGTTTTTTTTTCGTTTTTAGGTTTGAAAAACAGACTAAACATTTCCGTCTTTATTACGATGGTAAACATTTCGTTGGCGATAAAAGATTTGACACTGTTCATGATTTGGTCGCTGATGGTTTAATCATAATGTACCTCGAAACTCATGCCTGTGACTATATCGCTTCCATGAGCAATGGTGAATATTTCATTTCCTAAAGAACTTTCATCTTCAATCTCTCACTAATTGTTGTTTTCTTTTCATTAATTTACAGTTGCCTATGAAGAAACTCCTCATTATACTTTACAGAAATCGCATAAATTACAGAAGAAGATGTTCAAAGATCAAGGAGAGATTAACAAAATAGACGATCTCAAGATTGGAATCAAACGAATCGACATTCACGAACCTGATGATGAGGTTTACGACGATGTAATTGATGTGCAAATGTTTGAAAAGAAACATGGATTTAAGTCTCATAATTACATGGGGCTTCCTTTCTGTGACTATTGTGGTAACTTCATGTGGGGATTATTAGCTCAAGGTCTCAAATGTGAAGGTTCGTTCATCTGTTTCCTCTCATCAGAACTTCCCTTTAGATGTTTAATTACAATGACTAATCTAATTGAATTTGATCTATTCTATTTTTCCTTTCTTTTCTCTTCTTAAAATTGATTTAGATTGTGGTTTTAATGCTCATCGTAAATGCTCTGAAAAAGTGCCAAATGATTGTTGTCCCGATTTAAAGCATATTCATCGGATTTTCGGGATCGATTTAACTGCCGTGGTTAAAGCTTGCAATACTGTTCGTCCTTTCATCATTGATATTTGTGTAAAAGAGATTGAGAATCGTGGACTTCACATTGAAGGTCTTTATCGTGTCTCTGGCCTATCCGATGATGTCGAAGCGATCAAAGTGGCCCTTGAAAGAGATTGGGACAAAGCTGAACAAGTTTTCAAATCTTGTGACGATGTTCATGTAATTACTGGTGTGTTAAAAATGTACCTTCGTTCATTGCCGATTCCATTGATTTCATTTGATGCTTATCCTCATTTCCTATCGGCACTTAGTAAGTATATTTGGAAAATTTTTATTATATCAATTCAATCATGTTAATAATGTTCTTTGTCTTTTGTTTTTTGTTTTTTTTCTCGCAAAAACAGAAAAAAACGCTTTAGATGAGAAAATCTCAGGACTAAAAGACGCTGTTTCCAATTACCTGGCCCCCGCTCATTATCAATCTTTGCAGTATTTAATTGCTCACCTTGAAAGGGTTTCCCAACATGCTGATGAAAACCTGATGTCGGCTCACAATTTGTCAACGGTTCTGTGTCCAACCCTGATGAGGACACCAAACATTGGACTCAAACCATTCCAATTAAACTCTTGGGATCAGGAGATTCACGTGCTTGAGATTTTAATTAAAAATCATTCCAAGATATTTCGATAATATTTCATCTTTATCTATTAATATTTGTTTTCCTCTTCAGTTAACTTTTTTTTTCAAATTTCATCCTGACAATTAACTTATTCCTCTTAGTCTTAAATTGTTTCTCACCGATCATCCTAATTAGTTTCTCTTCGCTATCTCTCTCTAAAACTTTTGTTAATTCAATGCAATATCTCACACCTTAAACCAACAATTTAACTCTAATTGCCAAACGTTCAAAAAAACGAACAAATTTTTTATTTATTGTTTCTTTTTATTCCTCATGGTTTTATGTTTATTTTTATCATGTTAGTTGAAAAATTCATCAGATCACAAAATTATCCCAATTGGAGACTAAAGTAACAATTAAAACAAGTGTTTCAATCAATCGAATCTAATTTATTAACTCATGATGACAATTAAACAATAATCTTGAAAATTGATTTTCAAAGAAAATCACATGAGCTCCATCTCGCGGATAGAAAATCGACTATTTAGAATGAAAAATTTTCTTTGTTTAATTTTTTTCTCACTTTGTATCCCTTTCGTTTTTCATGCTAACGAGGCTTCTCATCAGCAATTATCAACGTTTCTTCAAGCAAATTAATTTCGTTAATCGTGAACAATTTTGTCGAAATCATTGTAACACCATGTCTAAAACTGCTTTAATTCTTGCTGCCAATGGATCTGAAGAGATGGAATTAGTAATTACCGGTGATGTCCTTCGTCGAGCTGGTGTAAGTGAAAACCTTTAAATGTTTCTCTCTCCTTCTCTATCGGTTCATTAATTAATCCACCATCTTGGTTATTTAATTTGATTCTGTTTCTATTCTGTAGATTGATGTGACCATCGCTGGCTTAGAGGGATCTGGTCCGATCAATTGTTCTCGGAAGGTTGTCATTGTCCCTGACAAAGCTCTTACCGATGTCTCTTCAAGTGAATTTGATATCGTCATATTACCAGGAGGTCTCGGTGGAGCTGAGGCTTTTGCGAGTAGTTCAGCTGTTGGGGAATTGTTGAGAAAACAAGAAGCTGCTGGACGTTGGATTGGTGCCATTTGTGCTGCTCCGATTGCTCTTAAAAGCCATGGTATTGCTCTGAAGAAACGTCTTACATCTTGGCCTGGTAAAGAGTCAGAATTGATTGACAGTTATGCTTATCAACAAGAGAGAGTTGTTGTTGATGGTAAATTGATTACAAGTCGATCTCCTGGAACTGCATTCGAATTTGCTCTTGCAATTATCGAACAGCTATTGAATAAAGAAAAGGCCGACGAGGTCGGAAAACCGATGTTGGTCAACCTTTAATTGACCAATAATTAACAATGGAACCAAAAAATCAGTTGAATCTGAAAACAATCAGCTTTTAATGAACTTACTAACAATGTAACAATTGAAAGAATTTTTTTTTCCAATTTGCTAATAAATTAGTTTTCATCATTCAAATTATTTTTGATTAATCAAAATGAGCTCTTACCTTTACAAGTTGAATTGGTTGTTATTAACCGAAAATATAAAAAAAAAGAATTGACAAAATAAACAAATAATTGGTACTGTTAATAATCCTGACAAATAGTAATAATATTTACAACCGGTTGTGCTTATGAAGATCAAAAATCACGTTGATAAAACAATGTATTGGTCAATATGACTTTTTGATGTTAAATTTCATAAACAAAAACAACAAAAAAAATTTGAATTTGTTTTCTTTTTTCCATTATAATTTATGTTCAATTTCAATGTGTGTGTAAGTAAAATCATTCATCTGGAGATGGAGATGACTGTCGAGATTCAGTTGGCTGACTTGGAGGAGAAATGGGCTCAAAGTTATAACCACTCAGCCAGGAGGAGGCAGCGGTTGTGGGTTGCACTTGTGGAGGAGGCGGAGTGTTGTTTGATGGGTTGTTTTCTTGTGAGCAGGGGATGATGCAAACTGGTTGAGCAATAGGTGTGAGTTTTGAAGCATCGTCTGAATAGCTTTTAGAAATGATATTAGCAATTCGATCCTTGAAGTTTTGTCGAGATGTTTGGTCGTCTTTTTCATTTGGATTATTGGTTAAGTGTTGAGGTTGTTGTTGTGTTTGGTCAAAATGGGAAGGTAAACCACTTCCGGCAAATGATTTAGATGATCCTTCGTCTCTTTCATGTAGCCTATTTTGTTGCTCATTCATTGGATAATTACCAGAAATCTCGTTGGTAGTTGAGACATTAGGCCTTACATCGCTGGGCTTGTTTTCACCCGAATCAGGCGTTTGTTGAGATTCTTTTCTAGCTTCTTCACCAGGTTGGTTAATTTGTCGAGTAATTATCGCAGTGATTAAATTAGCAGCAGTGATTTCTCCTTTTGAATGGTTTCTAGGTTCATCTTTTTGGAAAGAATGTGAAAATATTCTTGAAGCTTCAATATCACTTAATTCAACCAATTGAGCTCTAGAAAGATTCTTATTTTGATTATTTTGTATCTCCAAAGCTTCAACTGATTTACGTCCATGAGAGTCTGATAATCTCATGTCTTGTTGTCGCAATTCTTTCTCGAAAGCTTCTTTAGTAAATGGAAGTTTATGAATTGTTTGAGGACTTGAAGATGTTGATGGACCAGGTAAATATTTGTTATCAATCAATTTTTCATCTTCAGGGTGGTAAGGATGATTGATATTTTCTCTTCCAGGTTGTTGTTGTTGTTGTTGTTGAAGCTCAGGATTTGGTATTCCGTAATGTTTGTCATCTAGTAATCTCATTTTTTCAGCAATTTTAGATTTTATTCCCATGTCTTGAACAGTTCTTGATCTTTGCTGCATTTCCATGATATTTTTGTTCATCTGATCACTTGATTGTCTATCAGTTGAAGGTGACTTAGATTGATGGACATTTCTAGGTAAATTCATCATTCCCATACGTTGTTGTTGTTGATGATGTTGATGTTGTTGTTGTTGTTGCTGCTGCTGCTGTTGCTGATGCTGTTGTTGTTGATGTTGTTGTTGTTGTTGTTGTTGTTGTTGTTGTTGTTGTTGATGTTGTTGATGTTGCTGCTCTTCTCTTGAATTTGTTGTATTTCGTCTTGCAACTGCTACATCAACGAGAGTCTTGAAAGCATCGTGTGAATCTGGATAACCAGGAGAGGTGATAAAACGTGAGGGCCAGGGTTCTGCTCTCATATTGATATCACGAGGTGAATTTGACTTGACACTTTGAATAACTGATTGTTTACTAGTAGGATTACTGTATTGCTGTATGACATTTTGACGTTTTGCCTGAAAAAATACATCATTATATAACATTAGATATATAGATTTATTTATAAGGTTGAAAAAAAAATTAACTTACCATTGAGCCAATAGGGTAATTAGACGCTGGACCTGGTTTTGGAATCCAATGTTCTGGTGTTGGACTTGACCTGGAAGGATTAGAGTGAATTAAGTGAGGTGCGAGTGAGGGATTAGGATATTTATGATCATTGTTTCCAACATTGACTTGAGGGGGCATTCCACTCCCCGCGACGATATTAGGTAAATTGGACTGGAAGGGGTACATAGATTGTGGTACTCTCCCTTGTGGTGAAATATGTGGACTTGAGTCTGATGGTCTACTCAGTAAAGAGGATATGGAATGTGATTCTTTAACATCACTTGAAGGTTGACGAGGTTGCATTTGTTTAGATGTGTTAAAATCGATCATTATCTGGTTGCTTGATTGAGACTCAGGCAAGTATTTACTTTTCATGTGACCTTCATTTGGAGGAAAGTTAATTGGTGAACCATGATACGGTGATTGAGTGGGAGGAGGATGAGGATGAGGAGGATAAGGCATATTTGATTCTGGCATTCGTCTATAATAAGAGTCCATTGGATTAGGTTCATAAACACCAGGACCACCAGGATAAGGTTTATTTAGATTATCGTGATGTGATTGAGGCTCATTTTTTCTTTTCGCAGAATCTTGAGGTACTGGTGTTCCTAAAGTGATCGAACCAGAATCCTTTGGATAAGTGGGTGTAAGTTGACGAAATAGTCTCTCATAATTCTGTTGATTACTATACTGAGTGGAATGTATTGGTCCATGTTGAGCCATAATAATTGGTGTACCTTGAGTGATTGATCCTGATGCCATTTGTGAAGGGATCATCTTATCTCGATAAGGTGGTTTTGGAGATAATTGAGATCCACTTTGCATTTGATAGCTTTTATTTGATGTAATCAAAGGTGGTGGAGGTGTATGGGTAACAGGGGATGGATTTGAATGAGGAGCTTTGATGGTTGGTGCTCTTATTGCGTGTCTAAGTAAAGGTGAACCACTCGGACCATGAACCATCATGGGACCGAAACTAGATCCATCATTGTGGATGAAAGTTCTTGATTCTAATCTTGGAGGCTCAGCTGGCCTACTAATTTGTGTATTTTCATTAGTTGATAGATTAGAAACTGGTATATCATGTATAGATGTCCTTTGTATTTGGTTAGAGTGAGCTGGGGGAGGAGTTGGTGTCATGTGAGCAGGAACAGGAGATTTTTTGAACTCATTTCCCCTCATGTTGGAAGATTCGTATCTTTCTCTTTTTGTGGGAGGTAAGTGACTCTGAGGATAATCGTCGTCTAATTTGCGCGTTTTTTTACTGAGATCTTGAATTTCATTGTCAGGGTCATTTGGAGGAGGAGGTGGAAAAGAAACACCCGGAGGATAAGATGAAGGGTAAGAGGCCATCATAGCGAGACCTTCCGGTTTAACAACATAAGGATGAGAGTTAAATCGAGGAATACGAATATCATTTGATGTTGATGATTTAGAACCAAATCTACATGTTTCAGAGGAAGGCATCTCTTTCTTAATCTCTTGTATTGGATAAATTGGAACAGTTGAGTTATTCATCATCATTAGGTGACTTTCTCGGTTTGGTGAAGGTGATATACTGGCAACATTTTGACCACTGGAATTGAAAGGACTGCGTGGAGGATGTGGTGGATTACCTTCTGGTACATGAGGCAGAGAAAATGGTGGTTTATTTGGTGATTGAAAACTATTTTCAATAACCTGGTGAATCAAATCACTAACAAAACGTGGCTTGTCTTCTGTAGAGTTAAGAATTGGTGGTCCGAGGATATTTTCTAATTTAATTTTAGGAAGAGGTGTTGAATTGGATGGAGGTGGTCGTATTGAATTGGTATCATGGTGAATGAGAAATGGTGGTGCACGATAACGTTGCTGAGCTGCAAGTCCTTCCATGGGTCGATTAGGATGATTCATTGTGGGCTCTTGAGTATAAGCTGATTCATGACTAACTGGTCGTACGACTCGATCAACGTCAGGAAGGATAACATGATTAGATGGAGGGAAATTGGGCATGACTGAGTTTGATCTTTGAGATATTTTGGACGAAGGTGGTGAATTACGCATATCCTCATCTCCATTACCACGGCCTTCATCTGCACTCACTGTAGCACTACTGTCATAGTCACTTTTAAGGCTACCTTGAGATGTACTGATTGCTCTAAGGTCACCTAATTTATTTTCAGGGCAGCCACTCATATCGCTACCATCTCCGCTTGTTGATGAGTTTCTTGTTGTTGTTGCACTTTCATTTGTTACAGGTGTCATAGAGGAAGTTGTAATTGGAATTGTGGTATTAGTTACAGTTGTTGTTACAGTTGCACTTTCACCTGATACTACAATGTTTATTGGTGGGCTATTTGAACGTTTTGTCTCACTATTTGACTTTTCAACTCCTTCATCGGCACTGGAAGTTGCCTCACTATCATCTTCACTATTATCTTTGAAATAATCCTCAGAATCACTGGCCTGAGGATTAGGATCACCATTTTTACTCCAATAGCTTTCAACTGATTTATTCAGATTTAATTTGTACTTGTAATTGAAATAAAATTCTTTGCACTGTAAAGCATTTTTTGATCCTATTATGCTTGAAATTTCAAACCAGTTTTTACCAATAGTAGACAATGCATCTTCCAACTTGACAATTTCTTCATCTTTCCAGTCATGAAACTCGTTAGCGAAAGATTTTTTTGTGTAAGTTAAAAGAGGTGAAATTGCTCCGATTCTCCGAGAGATCCTTATGACACAGCGAGTACAACATTTTCTAATATCTGGTGGAATGTTCATTTCTTTGGCAATAGATTGCTTCAAGTCGTTGGAAAGATCAAACCATTGCTGAGGAAGAAGTTTAAGACGTTTCACTTTTCTTTTAGTTGTTTTACAAGATTGGATCGGACATTCTTTACGAATGTGCTTGAATCGACAATTGAGACAAACTTTTAGATCTCCTTTAATCTCTTCGAAATGAATACCATACAGATGACAATTTGACTTTGTTATAGATGAACACTTGGTATTTGAAGGTATAACCTCTTCACATACACAACATTTAATAACTGGCCCATCACATTTATTTTCCTCACTGTCACTTTTATCATTGGATTTATCGTTTATTTCATTATTGAGATCTTTCTTCCCGATTGTATCATCAGCTCCTTCGGTTCCACTGTTGGCGGCTGATGATGAAGGCAAAGAGACGGCAGAAGAAACACAAGGTTGATTTTCTAAGTTTGATGAATCTTTAGTATTACCTTTAGAGTTTGTTGAATAATTATTCAAATCATTAACTATCACATTCTGAGTAGATTCACTGTTAATTCCTGTCCCAGATACCGGTTGAGCAGAGTCAATATCGGCTTGTCCTTTAGGGTCAGATTGTTGAGCTTGTTGCTGCTGTTGCTGTTGTTGTTGCTGTTGTTGTTGTTGTTGTTGTTGCTGCTGTTGTTGTTGCTGTTGTTGTTGTTTAACAAGAGCTCGGGTTCTCTTTTTAACTTGTTTCCTTAAGATTTGTTTGTAATTAACTCTTTTCTTGGAGAGGTAATAATAATGAACGCAGTCCGGTACAGTTTTCCTCTCTAAGTAACTTGCAATCAAACCAAAATTTTTCGGATGTTGCATGAACTTTTCTCTGAATATATCTTTCTCATGGTCCAACCAGATATTAACTAATTGAATTTCATTATATTTCTCTTTGGGCTTTTCTACTAATCCATTATAATTGATAAATTTATGTCTCCTAGTTTTATTGTCCTGCATTATCGGAGGTATCACTGCGCAACTTCTCATTTTACGATCTTCTAGCTCTTGCTCTTGAAGACCATCCATAATCTCTTCCAAATCGGCATCACTTCTTATCCTCTGTCCAGCTCGAGAAAGTCTCTCCCTGTCTTCCCTTTGTTTCTTCAATTCTGGAAACTGTTTCTCAAAAAATTCTCTAGTCTTGTTATCTTTGGCTTTTTTACCCGGATTAAGTTCATTCTTCTCAAGTTTTTTCAGCCATTTGGACATTAGCCTTTCGTAGGTTTCCAAAAGGTATTTTTGATTTGCTTTCTTCTCTTCATGGCGTTTCTTGAAATATTTAATCAGTCTTGGTTTAAAAGCTTTAAACTTTTCAATATTTTGATGATAGACTGGTGAGTCAGAAGGTTGGTGATAGAGAGGCTACAATAAAGATAAAGAAAGGAAAGTTATTAATGATTAGATTAATGGTAAAGAAATTACGAATCTTAAGCTTACCAAGTCAAAATTTGGACCAAATTTAGATAAAATATCATGTGACTCTCGGGCTTTACGCTGTTAGGAAGAGAAAAAGAGTTTTAATTAACCAGATGAACTTTGACTTTCATAGACCATGGAAGAGAAAAACAAGAAGATAGGAGAGGGAGAGAGGAAGAGAGAGAAAAATAGTCTTGCTCTTGAAATCGTGCAAGCTTCTCATTAGATGATGTGACAGAGGGAAAACAAAAGAGTGACGCAGACTAACCCTGTTCTCGGAGTATATTAGTTGAGCAATACTAAGCTGCCGAGTCTCTGAAGAGTTGTCTACATTTTCTACATCTTTGAGTGAATCTCGTGAAGCTGCTTTCAATTCAAGCTGTATTTTGTTATCCCAAGAAACAAAAATAACAACCATTATCCATTCAAGATTTAATTCACATTTGCGCAAATCAGTGGTTGGTATAAATGTTTGAAGAGAAGATGATTATTCAATAGAGATGAAAATTCCAAGGAGTAATTCCAAGTGGTGAAAGATTACAGATGAGAGTTGAAATTGTAACAATTGTGAGTAACATTCGTTTAAAGTTCACCGTCGTAGTTTACAAAAGGCGGGATGAGAATGATGATGATGAAAAAAAGGAGAGAAAAAAAATAAACAAATTAACATTATATTCAATAAGATTTAACATTAAGGCGAATAGAATATGTAACAACTCAAGGCCTGACACAATGATTAAAGTAAATGTTGGATAAGATGTCAGGTATTCAGCTGCACATAACTAAAGGTGTTGAAACAAATATCATACCTGCTTCTTTCTTTCCCTTAATTCGGATATCTGAGTCTCTGTTTGTGATATCTCTCTATCAATTTTATCAATATTCTGTAACAATTCATCTTTAGACGTCCTAAATGTGGAGTTGTAATCTGGTTGCGTTTCCTCACACGGCAATGTTGGTGAAATAGCTTCCACTCTAGGGTTGTAAGCTGTTTTCTGTTGTACAGGAGAAGAGAGAAAAGAAAAGGCAGATGAGAAATCCATGAGAAGAGAAGATATATTGGAGAGAAAAAAAGAATTGAAAGATAAAATTGTAAGATTTAATATCGTTGAATCATTTATATTAAAATTAAACAGAAATTGATAGATTAAAGGATAGTGTGAGATGAATGAGAACAAGAAAAGAGGGGTGAAAAGA